CTTCTGCATGTGCTAATTGAATCATTTCAGACTTCCTGACCTTATCAGCTTAGTTCTGGCCACGTGGTGGTTTGAAGAGAGACACCCTTCCCCAGCTTCCTCTCTCTCTTTCCAATTTTGGATTCCAGCTCGGGGAGGGAGGGCACCTTCTTGCACAGCATATCCCAGCTCTCTAACCTCATGCCCACTTTCTCTTCCCTGCTTATCGTCTGGCCTTGAGAGCCTGCCCCAGATCTCTGCTGGGAAAGGCTGGACTCGCTGGCTCCGTGGGAGAGCAGGTGATGCATGAGCTACTCGTGCCTGCAACAAGGCCACGCTCCCAAGGCTGTTCGCTTTATTTACATTGCTGATGCTCTTCAAAACAAGTTTCTTTTATATTTTGAATAGCAACATTAAAATCTGGGCAGTCTGGAGGGAAAAAAATAACAAGCTAAGAGTTAGCAAGTGAGCTGTATTTGAATTACTCGCCAGCTGTCTGTATCTCTTGATCTGCTGGCCACCCGGACGCAGCCCTAGACAGCTTGTGGTAATCTAAGTATGAAGTAGCTGCGCTGCTGCAGTGCTGCGGGTTTGTTCTGCGTGTGCGTGGGCAAAAGGTTTCTGTGGTCTGACGCTTCAGGTGTCAGCTAGAAACCTTTGGTTAGAGTCCTGTCAGCAGCACTGGCTGGGACTGCCTTTCCCATCTCTGTGCTGATTTTCAGTTAAATCCTGGGCTCTATAAACCTGCCAAAAATAAATAGGACTGCCAAGGAGTAATTAGTGTTTAAACTGTAACAGGCTTAAAATTGGTGAAAGATGTGAATGGGTAGCGTCTTTTCCAGTACGTAATTTCACTGGAGGTGACATAAGCTGCAACCATGTAAGTTGCAAATGTAGTGAGCTGCTAATTGCTCTAACGAAAATATAGCATGTATCTGCACTGAGTTTGTTACTCAGTAGAGGATCAAGGGCCTCGCATTCCTCCATTCCTCTTGTATAGGTAGGTGTTCAGTGAACTTTAGGCCAGCTTCACTTCAAGGTGATGCAAAGTCATGCTTGCTTGTAAGTTAGCACAACTCTTGGGATAAGTCGCTATTCTGAAAACTGAGTGGCTCCCAAATACGTTTTTAAAAGCTTAGAGTACAAAGCAAATTTATAACCAGAATCTGCCATTAGTACAGAGCTGTAACAGTTCACGGTTGTCTTTGTCCAGTGCAAAAGAGATTGTGCCTTTTAATATTTAATCATTTGCAGATGGTATGTCAAACACAGCTGAAGGGGTGAGGACTAATGGCAGTAAATTTCTTTCACTTACAGTCTTTGGGAAGTGTACATCTTGGGCTTTTCTGGGTTTAAGATTTTGCTGGTGTAGTCTTGGCAGCATACCTGTGCAGTGGAGGTATGGCTTATACCAACCAAATGACTCTTTTGATGGTACAAGTTCCTTGACTTCAGAAGTTTTTCATCTGTGTCAATGTATGGGGCGAAGATGTGACTTTCTCTTCAGGTTCTTAAACTTTGGCTGGTGCTTGCTTTATTTTTGATCTTATGTTGCTCACTTCAGTTATTTTTCTAGCACTGCACATCTAAGCTGTCCTTTTGCCTTGCTGGCTTATGTTGCCAAGTAAAACCAGTAATACTCTTGTAGCAGTGATGGAAAATAAATTCTTCAAGCAGCACCTTTAATTAAATATTTGCGTATGGATTATCTTTTGTCACTCTAAGTAATAGTGCTATTAGAAAAGTGAACTGTTTCAGCTCCTAGGACTGGGATTAACTGCTCCTTGGAGGACTTTGCTTTAAAGGGATCCAGATTCAAAACTGATTATGTTTGAAAAAGGAGAGGGGAGGGCAGGAAAGGTTTTCTTGGATTAAATGGCTTAGTCAGACTTTCTTCCCATTTTAAAGAGAAACTTTTTTGTACACAAAAAACTTTCAATGTGGAGAAATTGGTGTGTGCGTCACAGACAAACATGAAATATTTTCTAATCCTGTAAGTTATAATGTGAAGCATTTTTTAATGATCTAAGTTAAAAATGAAGCAGAAGAACAGGTGGGTAGAATAGCTTTCCTAAGATCTTCCTTTCTTGCAGTTTAAGAAGCTGGATTTCATGATACTAATGAGCAAATAAGCTATTTCAATTGCTGTTGCAATTGATTGCATTGAAACTGTGGCACCACTCTTGTCTCTCAGTTCAAGTTTGCCTCAGGTTCTTTTTTTTGTCAGGACTTATCTTTGCCAGAATCTAGTTCAGTATTTTTCCCACTGTGATCATTGGTTCAGTCTGCTATGGGTGAAACAATGGCAGCTGTAGGCGTTTCAGCTCCTGCATAATCCATAGCTGTTTGGAAAACCAGCGGTCACTCAGCCTTCTTCCACGTCTGAGGAGGTGCCCATGGAGGGGATGTTTCTTGTTGGACTTTGCTGTGAGAGAGCGAGGAAAAAAGCAATGACTCCAAATCGTTCAGGAGTGTTCCTGAAAAAGGCAGGTTTTTTACACGGGTACTGGGCACATATTGCTGAGACTCTGAGAAGCAGTGAAACCTTTACCTTCATGTGCTGTGCTCTTCCTAGAGTGCTTAAGACTCGCCATGTTGGCAGAAGCCCCTTGTATCTATGGCTCTGTTGAGAACAGTGCAATTTTGCTGGGTTGGTTGGTTTTACCTGGGTGGAAGTGTGGCTGGAATAAGCTGTCCTAGCAAGACTGTGGTTTGGCTGATGTTTACTGGGGCCACTCAAGGAATGCTTTTTAGGTACCATACACAATAGACAGACATAGAGAGTTTGTAGCGTAAAAGCAGACATAAACTAGATCTAGTGTAGAGAAGTATGTAAGTGCTAAAAGAGCAAGTATGAGAAAATTGGCATGAGGAGATATTACATCCTGATTTTTATAACTAAGTTGTGTGGTGACTAGTAGAGGGTTACAAAAGATCTAGACTCTATTGCAGTGCTTATACTGTTAAGCTGTACTGTCTTGCACATCTGTCAGTGGATGTAGCCGGGTTCCTTTCTAGGTTGTAGGTAGTGAACACTGGACTGTTTCCTATATGGTGGGAATACTTGCCGAGTGCTAAATGATATTCTTCATCCTCTCTGCATTTCTACTTCCCTCCCACTCCTCCACAGGAAAAAAAAAAAGCCACCTGCTGTTTATGGCTAAGATGAGTAGAGTGAAAATGCAGAAGAGCTTCTTAAGTCAGACTTTAAATACCTGTTTTTGCAGGTGTCTAGCATTCATATTTGCCTTTAAAGTCCAATTGTTAATGTTTTATTTCCATTTATAGGCTCCTTTATTTTCAGCTAGGTGATGCCTGCATGTAATGCTTGGGACAGATGTGGCTACGGGAAAACTTGTTATGACAGTCTGTAAGTCAGAATCAGTGGATAGAAGAGGGGGGCAAAGTCCATTTCTGAATTTGAGAAAAATACAAGCTGTTGTAAAATACAGGATGTGATGTACTTGGTGAGGCTGGGGCAAATTGCATGAAACATCCTATGTTATGTGTGCGGCTGATGCCTTCCCCTTGTGCTTCTGGATTCTCCTACCTTTAAATTAATATTTTTAGTTATGTGGTGAAGATTAATAGATATTACTATGCAGGCTTTACAGTCTTGTGTAGTCTCAGATATATCCTATTGCACACTTTGAGATGCAGGTTTTTAGTGGGGAAAGGGATTTTTAAGGTGATTAACTGGTGTCTTGCATTGATATTGCTTTGTTAATGCAAAGATAAACACTGATTATAGAAGCTGATGGTGGTGGTGTCATATGGAGTGAGCTGTTACTGTAAATGTAGAGGAACCTTCACAGAGTACGCTGTGTCATTCTTTATCCAGTCAGAATCAAAATTTCTGTGGTAGTATGTGCATTGCTGTTCCTTTAAGGGAAAAATTCATGTGAGCGTGTGAAGTGTCTTCAGAGTGCCTGCTAACATTTCTTGCACAAGAGTAAGTGTTCGCTTTGTACAATGCTGATGGAATCAGGTACCTGCACACACTTGTTGACTAACCTGGACTTCAAAGTTATGTTTTTCAAAAGCCTTTTGAGGCAAGCGAGTTAACTGTGCTTGCTCTATGTGGGTATTGAGAGAGATTTAACCTCAGGCTAGAGAGTCAGAAATTACATATAGGGAGCGTGGACTGGGTGGGGATTACCTGTTTATTGCTTTACCTCTAGGGACGGTAAATAAGAAGAGCCTGTTTACGCACTGAGCCATTGCAACTATTACTTCTTTTTCATTTTGGAGCAAGTGAGAATGTCCTAGGGAACGTGGGATTGTGTTTGGAGGAGGGATGGAATGTTAGATAGGCATGTGGCCTGAGGAATGTGCCTTAGTGTTTTGCTATTATGTTACAGTCCAGATAACTCTGAATTAATTTCCCTTATTCTTTCAGCTGTTTTTCAAGATCATAATGCAGCAGAAAAATGAAAAACCATAGAAGACATTTGCTTTGGAAAAGAAGTCAGTTGCTGGCCCAGTCTAGAAGATGGACCACTGGATCTGGGGAGCTTGGGAAATACTTCTTCCAAAAGCAATTTTTCCTAGCTAAGAAGAAAAGACAGAGTGCTCAGCTAATTGTGAGCTTGAATCACAACAAACTGTACAGAAAACTGCAGTGCAGAAGGAAGGCACTTGAGCTCCAAAGCAGGTGGGCTCCTGATGTGCCTCTAAATGCAGAAACCTATCAAAAACCTACTGTTGAACCATACAGCTTTCCTTACAAAACTACTGAGAGCAAAAAGATCCTGTCCCTGTCGCAAAGCCGAAAGCCCATCTGGAGAAGCAGTAAGAAAACTCAACAATGAATCCTTTCAGAGTGAAGATCCCTTCAGTGAGGAATTTGAAACTGTCACTATTCTGAATAGCATCTCTGGCAATATCCATTATGTCTCATGTGGTACGCTGGATGGTGCTGCCTTACCTGTAAAGAAAGGTGGTTTTGTATATAGCAGGGAGGAGAGCAATAATGGTGAGGGCAACAGAGTCCTAGTAGTTTTAAACAACTATATAAGGAAATGCTGTTGCAAAGGGAGTGGAATGGAACTTGTGGCCCCTTGACAGCTATAAAGAGGTCCAAATTTAACCATCATACTGCAAAAAAGAGATCTTTATTTATGATGCATAAGAAACTTTCTATGGTTAGGTTTCGGTATAGAATTATAAAATCCCCAGAACTTCGAGCAAGAGGCAAAACCTGCAAATTGAGAAAAATCAAACGAAGGTGGGTGGAGAGAGTTACAAGGGACCATCAAGAGACGCTTCAGTGGGATTTTGAAAGTGGATTGTGTAATTGGCTTTCCTACTGGAAATCTAAAAGTAACCGTCTTTGGAACCGGTACAGCTTATCAGATATGAACAATAATACACCTAAATCTTTAGGTGAGGAGAACGAAATATGTGCACCTGAGATCTGCCGAATGCAGGATGCATTACCATGTGCTGAGCCGTGTTCTGAGGCACCAGAATCCGGAGGGCAGGATGGCAGTGCGGATGCTGTCCCGCCAGAACTGCATGCTAGAGCTTCTCCGGAGGCAGAGACGTTGCACCAGGTGGAGACCAACGGGGCTCTGGCAGAGGATCATTGCTCTGACATTTTTGTCTCCGTGACAGGAAAAGAAATTGCTGGTTCAGGTCAAGATGACACAGAATCTAATGAGGTTATGGGTGTAGATGGAATGATACTGTTGCAGTCCTCCTTGCAGGACTCTGATGTCCATGATAATTTTGCAAATGGACCTTTATCCATGGAGCTGGCACAAAATGAGGACAGCTCTAGCCAAATGGAAGTAGAGGGCTCATTAAACCTGGACATGTTTAGCGCAAAGTTACTAGATCACCCTTATTGTAAAAGTCCTCTTGAGGAGCCTTCACCAGAAAGCACAGGACTAAAATCAGGAACTCGGAAGGGAGGCAAAAGGAACAGTCAGAAAGCTTCCCGGGTGGCTGATGAGCAGTTGGCAACGTGGCTTTGTGGTATACCTTTTACATATCTTAGGGCTTCCAGGAGTTCCTGAAAACTGCTGGATGTATCGTGGAATTTACATGTTGCATTAATTCTTTATTAAAATGGTTTCTTATTGTGAATTGTAAAGGGTGCTTAGCATAACACTTAATGAAATGAGGCCGCAAAGAGGAGAGCTGCATGAAGGAAGGACAAATCAGTGCTTACCTGACAAACTATTTTAAGGGATAGTTGAATGGTACCTCTGCTGCTTTTGTTTTAGAGAATACAATGTAATGTAATTGGAATTTTGTGGAAAATTATTGATAGACATTTTAAATGTCTTTTATCATGTGGTTTCAGAAGACAATATGGGGTTAAAACTTCCAGTTTTTTAAATGGTTGACAATTATTACTCTAACTTGTTTTTTTAAAATCCTTAGTGTTCTAATACTTCCTTCCAGCCTTACCCTCTATTCTCTTGTTCTGTCTTAGACTGAAACTAAATCACTTCATGAAACTCAGGTTTTAATAGCCAAATGCTGTTCATTGTCACTTAGTTTTCTCTGTGATTTTTCATAAAGTAGCCTTAATGACTTTTATTAGACAATATTTTTTAAGAAGGCAATAGTCTTAGCAGAGGTTCAGCAAAAAGGCTTTGGGATTCTTTTACTCAATGCTGAGCATGCAGTATTTGATAGTCTCTAAAGAGGAACATGGTAAAAATAGTAGTCGGTGTCTTATGTATAGCAGCATAGTAAGGAGCAGTAAGCTAACATGTTGTGCCGCCTAGCACCGTTAATATAATGTTGAAGTTCTGTGGTGTTCTGATAACTGAAGTCTTCCTTTGGAGAAATTGACTTCATAGATTCCCATAAACCTGAAGCCAGTGTCAACTAGTGTTAAAGGTATTGTTTGAAGTTTGACATGCTCTGATTTTTCTGCCTGCCTTTTTGTCCTTCAATTTTGCAACTGATTCTCTAAAGCAAAACATGAAGAAGGAGACATTGAACCTCAAAAGAAGATTCAGCTTTCCAAATCCACAAGTTAGTGTGGGATGTGTTTCTCTACAACTGGCTTTACGTGATCCAGTAAGGACCAGGCGCTGTGTGAGAAATTGAGAGAAACTGTGGTACCACAGTGAACAGACCACTTCTGCAATGGAGTTTTAAACTTTGTCCAGCAGAAAAAGGGACATAATTATTCTGTAACAGTCAAGAAGCAAGATTGTATCAGGGTGGAAAGGTTAAAGTTTTGCGGTCTGATAGGCAGTCGTGTTCTTGTTCATGGGAGGCCTGAATAACTTAAAAAAATAAAATTAAAGACAGGCAGCAAATGCACTAAACTTTCCCACACTTGACAATTTTAAGAGAATTCGTACCTAGCTTCTGAATGAAAGTAGGTGAGACCAGTTTGCATTTTCTTCAGAGTTCCTCTCTGTTCTCCTCAGTTCCTCTCTGAGTACTGAAGCCAAGTCTGCACTACACACACACTCATTCTGACAGCATAGCACTTCTGAGTTTTCTCAGCTGAAAAGCTGTAAAAAAGAATTTTAATTTTGGTATAACTATGTACAGAAGTTCTTGTCTGTTTAAGATTGTTATTAATTATTAACTGCACCCTGAAAGTTACTGCTAACCTGGCAAGAGTTGCTAGGGTAGATGCATGACGGAGATGTAAGTGTTAGGGATGCTCCCGGGTTTTGAATTTCTCTGCAGCAGCTGAACTCGGATGTTAATGGGCTGCAATATTTAGTGCATTCTGATGTGCTGCTAGGTGTCAAACAGATCTCCATGGTAAATCCTGTTCGTGATGGGTGTCTGATCTTGCACCAGGTCTGAACTTGTGGAAAAAACTGCATTTTCCTTCTTGAGTTATGCAGTTACATCAGCCCAAGTGAGGTCAGAGTCTAGCTAGAGATCTCTTGGAGCTCTGCTACTGTTAGTTGTAAATACAAGGACAATCCTTCCCCTGTGTGTATGAATAAAAAGCTTTTTAAAAATTTATATATTAAGAGAGAATAAGGTACGCTTACATCCCCATACATCTTCTATCTAGACTTCTAGCCAGAGTGAGAAGTATCCTCCCTGTCACAATCTACTAAGATGTAAGGGATAAAAGTTGTTAGGCAAGCGTGTGGCAGAGTTGTGAGGAAGGATATCTTCCCATGAAGAATCCTTCCTTCTTGTCTGATCTCACTCTTCAATCCTTCCTTCCTTCTGTCGCACATCCAGGTGTACTTCTTGCTATATCTTCACTGCTTTTCTCATCTCTTTGTGTTTTGTTCTTGGTCTCTCTCTTTTTTAATTCTTTTCTTACTGCTGTTCTTCTGGCGCTTTTTTCTGTCCGATGTTTCTCTCATCTTGCTTCTTCCCATCCTGATCTTTGAAAGTTTCCAGGAAATGTTGTTAAAGCCTTAGTAAGCAGAGAATTAAACATACACTGCACTGTCCAGCAATACTGTCTGCCGTCACACCCAGGCCTGAGAAGCGTCCTGGAGTTTGGGTTAGTGCAATTTCCCTGGACTCTGATCTCAGATCCAGCATTCTGTACACACAGAATGGTTGGGGTTGGAAGGGACCTCTGGAGATCATCTAGTTCACCCCCGCTGCTAAAGCAGAACACGTGTTTTCTGCTGTATTTGAAAACTCATTTTCAGAAAGCTGGACAACTTGGTCTTTTTTTCTCTTATTCACTAGCAAGCGTTGAAATCCTGTTTTCCATTCTCTTTCATTCTCGAAGTGGTTTTGGATGCTTGGGTGAGATTTATGCCTCCACTGTTCCAGTCTTATGTCTGAGGGGAAAAAAAAACCCCAAAAACCTATTTCCTAGGTTTTTTAATTCCTTCAGCATTCATCTGTTCATTATTTCCTAGTTAATATCTTTTGTTTCTGGTGTTATGGTTGCCGAGGCAGAGGCAGGCTAACATGGCTGTCCGTGGCACCTTAAATGCCATCCCTAGGATACTAGGGTAAATGAGTTAAACTTGCTGAGAGTCTGTCTGGTGTCTCTTATGTTTGCTATGGTGGCAGCAGAGGAGCTGAACAGACTGCAAACACACTGCCAACCAGGGATGCTTACAGTTGAGGAGAGTAATTCTGCATACCATAAGGACAAGATACTGGGTTTTCAGTGAAAACTGTTGCAGAAACTGATAGCTTTTCATGTTGCAGTAAAATTATTTAAGATGCTAATTGAAATGAGCAGTGGGATGGATTCTCCTTGTAGCACTGATATAATTAGTGCGATGTAGATATATGTGTATGTGGGAAGAATGGGGTCTGATCTTTCCCTGTAAAGCTGAGTGATCAGATTCCTGCTTTTTTTATTTTTGTCCTCCTTCCCCTGCTTTTATTTAATGTTGCCAGTTTGAGCTTAGTTTTCTTAAATATATACTTGCCATGTGTGGTGCTTTGTGTTGGTTGGGTGCAGAATGATTGCTGCTCATACTTGGAAGAAATGACTGCTTTATTGGACTAGTGAACTTGGAGGGTTTGTTACATGTTTGCACTTTCATTTTTCTGGTGTATTTAAAGGATTCCTAGATGAAGTTATGAAGAAATATGGCAGTTTAGTTCCACTCTGTGAAAAAGATGTCATGGGAAGATTAAAAGAAGTCTTTAATGAAGATTTCTCCCATAGGTGTGTAGCAGTATCAAATTCTAGACTTTGTAAAGGACAAATTGCTTGCATTGCTACTGCACGTTCCACGTCTAACACCTAGCAGAACAGAAGTCAATTTGATATGACCTTGACTTATTTTTTTCTACCTTTTCAATCCTGTTTTAGAAAACCTTTTATCACCAGGGAAATCATGAAGTATCGGGAAAAACATCCAAAAACCTCCACTTGCAATTTCCGGGTCTTCTATAATAAGCACATGCTAGATATGGATGATTTAGCTACACTGGAAGGCCAGAACTGGCTGAATGACCAGGTCAGAAATGCTTGGTGTTTATGTGCTTCCCTACCCCTTTTTTAGCCCATTTATGTTGGGATATCAGTTGTTCACCTTCTGCTGTGTTATAGGTGGACTAAACTTACTTTACACTTGAGAAGTGAAAGAAGCGGTGAGCAGCTTTTACAATGGCAGGTGCAATAATAGTGGTTACAAGTGTGGAAGATGGGAGGTGTCACAACTAAACTGTTTCCTTTTGAAGAAATGATGTTGCAGTATTTTGAGAAAATAGTGGCTACCTATATAGGTTTTAGCATCTCCCCCCATCCCCAAGCTTGAGCAGATTACAAGAACAGCAGAGTGAAGCAGCAGACTGTGGCCCACAGCCAAAAAACCAAGAAGGCTGCAGTGCCTAGGGCATGCACCAGTAGGCTTAAATTGAATTAAACTGCATTTCAGATTGAGGCAGACTTCAAGCAGCCAGTTATAGTCTCTCTCTGGGCTGACCGCTATTAGTTCCAGGGTGCTTGTCCTTCAGACTACAGGCAAAGTGTTACTATAATTGCTTACCTCCTTATTGCTGTTTTAACTGTGAAGGGTCCTACGTTTTATGGGAACTTGTTAATTTGAGTTTTACAAAATTATTCTGTACATATTCAAATATTTACTAACTCTTACAGATAATTAACATGTATGGTGAACTCATAATGGATGCAGTCCCTGAAAAGGTGAGGGTTTTTGTTATTATGCAAATGTACCTAATAAGAGATTGAGAGGGAAGGGTGGAACATTGAATATTTCAGATACAGAATTGAGATTTAGCTCAGTGATGTTCTGAGTGGTTCCATTATAATTTGTCGCTATCTGCTGCTCTAATTTTCTTCCTTTCTTGTGCTAAAACACAATTTTCAGTGCTGTTGCTCTTGTTTCAGGAACTTACTGGATTAGCTCAGCAGGTGGTCTCTGTGGTAGCCTGATGTTACTGATGTACCTGTAGAAGACGGGTGCCCTGTTTTCGCCCATCCCACTCCTTTCCCCCCTAGATGTTTCTGTCTCCAGCTTATCTGCTTCTAAAGTGCTTTACCCATGCCCTTTTTCACCAGTCTGGTGTTTCAGCTGAAATTTCTGATGAAGATGGATTTCTGCTGAGATGACAAACCATGAATGGTAGCATCTGAACCATGCACATGTGCTGCTTGTGCTCACCCACCCACCCACCTCGCAGCTGTGGGGGCCACAACAGCTCAAACTGCGTCAGATGCCTGCCTGGTGAATGTGAATTGATGCGGGCTGCTTGGTTCCTTGGCAGTACTGACTCTGCAGGACTCTCTTTGGTTTGTGCATCCTCAACAGAGTGCTTACTGCTTTCCGACTACAGTGTCTTAACTGTTGGTGGCAGTTGAAAAAAAGAAAGGAAAAAGAAATAATCAAGAAACACCCCCCCCCCGCTTCTGTGACTACATTTGCAGCAGTGGCAATTATAAAAAGCCATCTGTTTACTAGTAGAGCTGAACAATTTTCAGGTGAGGCCACAAAGGAAGAACCAAACAAAGCCATTTTTAGATGAGCTCTGCAGAATGTAACTCTTAAAATCTTCAAGCTCAGAAGAAAGAGCGTTTTTGCTTTGATTGGTGGTGATGGTGATTCTTCATTAGTGTTCTCTGTACTACCTGAGTGTGTGCTAGGGTTGTGGTATTGGAGATTGTATCTGTTTGCTTGTGTCTGCTTTTTCTTCATAGTGTATAATTGAAATCCTCATGGGAGATTTTGTGCTGGTACCTCAGAATGTGGTCTTGAAGTCTGTTGGCATAGATAATGGGTGTTAGACTGTGTTTTCAGATGCTGAATTTTCTCACTTTTTTTCCCAAGTAATAGCTCAAGTCTTCTACCACCTCTACACTAGCAGAATTATTAAAAACAGATGTTGTAGATTTCAATTTGTATTAATCTGTTCCTGTAATTGCAAGATGCTAAGCCCAGGGAATAATAGTGTTAACCTGGAGCTAAATAATTTTTTTTAACATAAGCCTACTTTTTTGCCATAAATGTTGCATTTTAGTTACAAAATGGATGTGGCAGAACTTAGAAATGCTTTTAAATAGCAGAATATTGTTTTTGTCTGGAGCTGCTCATAGTTGAATACAAATGACCATGTTGTTGGATTAAATCTCATAACTTTTTTTTTTGAGTCTTAGCTTCCAGCAACTAAAACCAGAAGTTACTCCATTCTCTACCACCCCCGCTTTGCCAGTCCAGTGTTCTTTTCCTTAATCCCCATAAAGAACAACAAAAACTGTAACTCTTTATCCTGGTGGTTTTCTCCCAAGTCTGTCCCCAACAAAAAATTAAACATGGTATGCAGTGGCTCACATCATATATTATAGGGAAATAAGGCTTGCTTTATTTGCTAGCTGAAGAATGGCAATAGTTTAGGCTTGGCAAAATCTCTTTGTCCCTACTGGGGTTCTGTTTCTAAACCTGCATTAAATATTGCCTCCATTACAAGTTGGTTTGTGTAAATTATCCTGGGGGAAGGGGAATGACTGTACATGAAGATTTCTGTGCTCATTCCTCCTCTCTCTCTTTTTTAGGTTCATTTCTTTAACAGCTTTTTTCATAGACAGCTCGTAACCAAAGGATATAATGGGGTAAAACGATGGACTAAAAAGGTATCCTTTAACTCTGTGTCGTCAGTGCTCTGGTTCTTTTGGGCTGGGTTGAATCGCTAACTTGAAACTGGGTTACAATGTGTTACCTCCAAAGGGTGGGTTTGCAAAGGAGCTATACAAAGTGGGAAGAGGTTAATAAAAATAGTAGGGTGGCACTATTCAAGTTGGTATGGTTATGTTGTGAAAATGTACTTTGAATGGCTTCATCAGCGGTGATAGGTTATCTCTTTGTGTATGTTCGCGCAAGCTGTTAATTTAGCTGCAAGAAATGTCTCTTACTGCTCCTGACAGTGCCAGGTACACTAATCTACAGGAGAGCAGACTTAATTCTGCTTCTTCCTTTTATCTCAAACTGGGATTGTTAAAATCATTACTCCTGAGTAACACATACAGGTACTAGAAAGCAGAAATTAGAGACCTATAGTTAATAATCCAAACTGTTGTTTGCATGACAAGAAGAGAATTCATCTTGCTTTCCAGAACCCATACCAGATCGTGGGTTGTGATATTTTCTGAGGTAGCTAATACAAAGAGCAGTGCTCTATTTTTTTTTTTTTTTTTTTTTTTCTGTGAACATTTGTCCTTTCTAATATGGGAGATGAGGCAAGACTAATCAAGGACCATGTTTGAATGTATGATCTTTCTGCAGAAGCACTTAAATAGCACACATCTGTGAAATGCTAGAGATGAACTCATTATCCCAATATAAAATCTATTAATATAATTTATTAAAATCTCTTTAAAGAGAGACTGAATATTGGTGCTTAATATTCCCAGATTTTTTTTTTTAATGTTCTTTTTCTTTGGCAACCCAAGTTTTATAAAAACCCCAGAAGTGAAGGTAGATTCTGAAAGCAGAACCTGTATTCATGTTGCTGCTGAGGAGGGACCAGATGAGAGTAGGACAGTTGTTCAGACATTTACACTTAAATTCCTGAAGAGTCTCTAAAGCAAGGATGAAAACTAAGCAGTTTCTGTTGGAAGGATTCAGTAGACTGCTTTGTCCTGCAATATGCAATTAGGGGGAACTTGTTTCTGCTTTTTAAACATAACAGAGTATTGTACCAGGTTTTATAAGTGTGCTCCCCTGGGATACAGGAGACCAGAGCCTAGAAGGATGAGCTCTTCTGCATCTAGCAGCAGTGGTTTCAAAGCTCCTATTTGTGTCTGTCCCTTTTGTCCACTGGTCAGATTGGCACTCCTGCTCTCATCCGCTGTCATGTCAGCTAGCTGACTCTGTACTGTCTCGGTGAAGCAAATCTAGGTTGCCACCATTCTTTCTGTATGTCGGGTCTTAACTAAAGACCCTTCCAGCTTTTGGCTGCCTCTTTCCACTCTTCTGCTACAGGTTTGCATGCCTGTAGCAATCCCACAACGAGGGTCACATGAGGACCCTTGAGTTTAGCATGGCTCTGCTGTTGCTGGACATCACAGAAGGTGTAGTTCATTTATCGTATTCCAGTTTTTCCTTTGTGGGCTCAGCTTGCTGCTGGCTGACATCTCTTTGCTTCTCGCCAAGAATGATGGATCGTTGTGTAGCGAGTGTGCTGTAATCTGGTCAGGAAGCAGTTTCTGCAGGTGGGAGCAGGGACCGTCGATGCTTATGGCAATCAAAGCACTGTTGCAAGCAAGGCTTGGCTGATAACTGCTGTGAATGCTCAGACCTTTTTGTGCCTTCAGCTTCTCACTGTTACTCAAAAAATACACTTTTCTTTCCTACAAATGACCTGCCTTTACCAATGCAGCAATTATGTACTGTTCAAATTGCACAGTGCTTAAAAAAAAAAAAAAAAGCAGCATAGAAATCTTCCCACAAGATGAGTTCATTTAGTTCAGTATTCTATTTTTGCTTATTTTCTGGACTGTGCCACCAAAAACCCAGCAATTAGACAACCATTTCAAGAGGAGCTGGGAGAAGGAAGATCATGAAGGGCCCCTCCAAAAGCATAAGGGCTCATCTGCCACACAGACTCTGGGGGTGTTGTATCTGATCTACTTGTTCCGTACTTTAAGACCTTCTCCCTTGTTCGCTTGCCTGTGACCACAGTACATCTGCTACAAAGTTAAGTTCAAGAAAGGATGAATCTGCTCTGTCTTCACCCCCTCCTTTCCTCTGTTCATCAAAGCATTGTGTACTCCTTCTTTGCCTTCCTCTGACAAGTCGCAGCCTGCGTTATGGCAGAGGGAGTCAAACTGCGCCAGCTTGCTGGTTTTGTGGGGTGTTTGTAATCACAACTACTTCATCTGTCACCTATCTGTGATGCAGCTCTGATAGAAATCAGTGGTGTTCATACTGCAGGAGTGTCATTACTGAAGATACATAGCTAACACAAACTGAGGCTCAACGGTATTGCCATCATTACTTAAGAAATCCCACTTTGACGCAGACGTTAAAGTGCAACATGAGCAGGCTTTGCCACAAATATGGTGGTGACTAACTCTGGTACTGTACAGTGGTCCTTAGCCACTTTCTGGGATGGAATGATATTTTTGTGCCTGCTAATAAGTTGTGTATGAGATAAACATGAGGAATGTGCTGAAAGAGTGGCAGGGGCAAAAGAAGACTTCAGTTACGGGGTGGCGGAGAGACTTAGATACAATTAATATCCTGCTTTGGTGTGTTGTACCTGTGGGATTGTCTCTAATGTGTATTATTGTTCTTGCCAGGTGGACTTGTTCAAAAAGACTCTCTTGTTAATTCCTATTCACCTGGAAGTCCACTGGTCCCTCATTACTGTGAACATCCCCAATCGAATTATTTCATTTTATGATTCCCAAGGCATTCATTTTAAGTTCTGTGTAGAGGTAAGAGTGACAGCTGTGTCTGCAAAGTTTGAACTGTTTTCTTAAACAAACCACCCCCCCACCCCTTTTTCTGTTCAGCCTTAAACTTTAAATGCAGCCGTGTCTGTTGTTGTCCTGTTGTGTATGAAATGAGAATCAGCTTGTCCTGCTGAGGAGTCTGAAGCACAGACCTCGAGGGTCACACCAGAGCTGGGAGTTGAGGTCGGATTGCTTATTGCCTAATTAGCCTCACCGTGTCATCGGCACACTTTTTGTGGCTCTGTCTTGTCACTCCCACAAAAAGCAGGAGCTCAAAGCCAAGTGCCATAGGGAAGCAGACTAGCCAGAAGGAGAGTAAAGGCAGTTCTTTCAACCATTAAGGGACTTCGGTTTAGGAAATGATAAATTGTGGTCCTTTTTGGGGGAGGTTGCCTGGCTGAGAGAACAGGACTGAAGATGCTGTAGTGCTGCCCAGTGGGGTTTACGTGTTACTGTGCCATTAACAGTGTGTTGCCTTTTTCCTCTGTCTGCATTGGTGCAGGGTGTGTACCTCTGATTATAACCCAGCAACCTTTCGAAGCTGCAACCTGAACACTGGAGTTAAATTATCAGTCTTTCTGGTAAAGAGCAGCCAGAAAGTTTTTGCTGGGGCTAGCAAATTGTAATGACCCTCACACAAAAGCTAATTTTGTCAACTTAATTGCTTGCTTGATGCAGCAGCCCTCTACTTTTGACTGTGTGTAGTTGTTGGCTTACAGAAGAGTAGTAATTATTGTACCCAGGAGAGTTCCCAGCTAGGACTTCTGAATGAAGATACTAGTTTCCTGCTAGCATTTGCTGAGGATGAAGCTAATGTTTGTTCTGGGAGGGAGAGACCTTATGCTCTCCAGCTTCTGAACTTGCGGCATAAACCAGGGGTCCCTCTCAGCAGCCCTACAGTCTCTCCTGCAGTTTTGCAATGTGGCTTCTCCCATCCCGCTCCAGGCAAGGCATTTGCACTCTAAATGTCTCACAAACATGAGACGGTTTTATTCCTGCCCTTTCTAGGGGAAGGGGGGCCAATACCCAAAACTCCACTGTGATCCACCTACTAAGGTGAATGTTAGCGCTCTGGAGTGTGTTTAAATTGTGCTGTAAACCACCAGCCTGTTTACAGAGAAGTAGAAAGATTTGCTTAACCCAAGACCATAGGCTCATTTATCTTGCTTCCTTCTCTTTGCTTGTGTCAGACTACTTTTTCCTGAATGTCACTAAAACTGTCCCTGGAGCTTTGTTGATTAGCTGCAGAACTCAAAGCTTTTTGTATTGAGATTCAGGCAGGAAAATGCTATCATATTGAATGTAAGGGCCTTGGTGTCAGCCAAGTAAGCCAGGAGAGAACATATGCCAGACTGCACTGGGTATCTCTGCATGTCTGAGAGCACTCTGACTCTGCCCGAGTGCCACAGCTAGTCTAATATTAGGTATACCAGCGTACAGTGGGGCTGAGGGGTGTTAAAGCTCCCCTGGATAGAGCAAGATGAGCCTTGATGGTAGAAGGCACAGTACGCACCACAGTTCATCTCTTTACCTCTAGAACTGAGCTCAGCTGAAATTTGTTCTCATTGTCAAAAGGATACCAGCAAAGATGTCAATGTCTCTCCTGTTCTTTAGCTGCTGAATAATATTGTTGCTTTTTTTCCCTTTCCTTTTTAAAGAACATTCGAAAGTATTTGCTGACTGAAGCAAAAGAGAAGAATCAGCCTGAGTTTCTTCAGGGTTGGCAGACTGCTGTGACAAAGGTAAATGGCAGCACTTCGAGCTCTGGAGTCTGACTTTCTGGGAGATTTTAGGAGGCTGCTTCTAAACCCATATATTTGTACAAGTAGTAAATTGTTTTATGCTGACCACGTGGAGGGTGGTAGGAGCGATGCAGGTGGTTACACATGGGAATTAGAGCTCTGTCGCTCATTCAGCTCCCACCAGATCTTTAATACTTTCTGCAGGTGACTCGGTGATCTGAGCCTAATCGCTGGACAATTAAATATCTTTGCAGCAAAACATGTAGCTGGTGCCCATGTTGGCACAAGGTCAAGGACTGAATGAGCTGGAGACTCAGCTTCCTGACTTCTCCTGAATGCCAAATGGATGGGGTTTGGTGAGGGAGGGAACAGGCTAATGCTGCTACTGCCTGTATTTTATATTTGCTATGGATAGAGGGCTTTGGTCTCCAGGGCTCTTTGTGGCACATTGCATTTGATCACAAGTAAACAAAGTCTGGCAACAATAAAAGGGAATAACTTGTGTATAGTGTAAATGAGGGAATATGTGATTTGCGTAGCCATCCCATAATGGCTCCAAAGATATAAAACAGGTCATTGCACACTAGACATACTCCCAACAGCTCCCTCCTCGCACAGGTTTATTTTTAGATGCTGATACAATGATTAAATGATTCCTCTCTGCACTCATGCACACCCTGTGCAGTCAGAGTTTGTCCTCCTGCATTCTGTGAGGTAGAAGAGCTGGGAGTTGAGGGAAAATAATTACTTTTCCTCTTCAAGTGCCAGAGACATAGCGGCACTAGTAGGTGGGACTTTTTAGCCCCACATATCAAAATTGAGCATGTTTGAAGAAATAATGCAGGTTGAAAGTTATCATTTGAGACTGCCTTGCTCGGTCCTGTCGCCTGACGATGTACCTCTTCATGTTCTTTGAGACCCTTTAGTGTGGCTGGGGGAAGAAAGCCACTGCTGGTAGCATGGATGCTGAGAGTAATCTTCCTCTAGGCCTGTGTGACTTTGCTGATATAGTTTGTTCCTGTGTAAAGCAGATAATGCTGTACAAACATTTATTTAAACTAATTGAGAAGCTGTTCTGTGTAGGTCACTAAAAGAAAATAAACTTGAAAGAAAGATTTGTAATTTGTTTTCTGTCCTGCACTATATATTTTTCTAAATGTTAAGTGTTATTCTAACAAGGTGTTGAGTGTCACCTTGCAAAAGTTGGGATCAGAATAAGTAATTTCAACTCCAGTTTCTAGTGCTGCAGAACAGCTAGCTCTGAGAACGAGATTCTGATTGTTTTGCCGAATCTTCTTTTGGATTCTAAGCAGGACTTAGAGAATAAAAGGATAAATAAAGATCTAACATGTCTCCTCTTTTTTCTTTTCCTTTTAGTGCATTCCACAACAGAAAAATGACAGTGACTGTGGGGTTTTTGTGCTCCAGGTAAGAGTACTGCTTTTTAAAAATCAGTGGCCTCTATTGTTCATATAGTAAATGAACTTTTTTTCAATCAAGCCTTTTCCTTTTCCCCAGTACTGCAAGTGCCTCGCCTTAGACCAGCCTTTTCAGTTCTCCCAGGAAGATATGCCCCGAGTGAGAAAAAGGATTTACAAGGAGCTGTGTGAATGCCAGCTAATAGACTAATAAAATGCAGCCAACCTAATTTCTCTGGCATTTCTGACAAGTTGCAGCTGGTGTTTGTGTACTTGAATTTCTGAAAACTTCCGTGAATTTTGAGCGATTCTCAGATGAGTGGTGTGGCCACTGTTGTTACCTCAATTTTTTGACAAGCTCTTTAACTGGCAGAACATAACAGAGCTGCCGTAAAATATTCCTTATGTCAGTTTGGTTCTCTTATGTTCTTTCCTGTATTTAATATTTATTATCTCAGCATGCATATAGGCAAAGCATGCAACTAAAACCATAAAACTGTAGATTTGGTGCACCTTTGAGATGTAGCTAGAAATGACAAATACAGGTGATTTTGTCTGGAAACATAAAGATGCATGATATGTTTTCTGATGCAATAAAGCTTTGAATGTATCAAAAAAAATCAATGCCATAAAAAGAACAGCTAGAACCTATTTGATAGTTCCATTGTCCCTGTTGTGGCTGTATAATACTGAATTACCACTTTTTAGGGTGGCTAAACTCATCTACAGATTTAATTTGTGGAGACCCCTTTTTTTAAATAGCTCAAGTTGCTAATAAAGTTTGTTCTGTTAACATTTATCTAGCTGTTATTATCAGCCTGTCCCTATAGATAAAAAGCAGCCTTTGCACAAATAAAGCTTCAGCACTTGTCTGTATAATAAAAAGTACAAAGGTGTTCAGTCAGTCAGATTGATGGTATGTTCCTATATGCTGCAGAAGTCTCCATGATGTGTGTATTAAAGAGAATTATAAAGCTGGCCCTGAAGAGTCACAGTTTAGATACTAAGATAAACTCCTTGGCTGTAACTGTTTAAATCTCAGACGGCTTTGACTCATTTTTCAGTTCCACAGTATGCAGTGAAATGTACCATTTCGGCATCTCTCACTTCAGCTCTGCCTTCGGATGAACTCCCTTCAAGCTTGTCATGTTTAACCTCCCATTGGCTTTTGCCTTTGTTCAAATATAAATTAATTCATTTCTGCTGCATCTGCTGTTTGATTGTCTCAAACATCCCTAGTTTTGTTTGCGTTCAGTAGCACCGATGGGTCTGTTGGGAATAATAGCTTGTGGTGGGTGCTGTACAAACACAACAAGATTACGTCATCCTGTTCCAGAGGCTGTGAGTCCAGCACTGAACCTTGCCATGTTGTTGCACTGCCCATGGATAAGTGAGAGCAGTGGATCTTGGGACTTCGGGGTTTCTGCCTTGATCTGTAAACTCTGATGTGCTCCTTGCTGAAGAGAGCTGGTTTTGTTTGAAGAGACTGTTGTACAGGACTGCTACACCAGCAAATGTCTCTGCTGTGTTTCTCTGCCAGATAAAGGAGTGAGCCCAGAGGAAAACTATTTTTAATGCTAAACATCATCTGTTGCACAGCTTCACTTTGTGTCTGTCCATAGCCCTGACTTCTGATGGAGGAAAACCACTCAGAGTTCCCTATCTTGCAAATTAATTCAGGCTTGAGCTAAGCCAGGTGCAAATCCCTCCTAGATTATGGGAGGGAGCAGGGAGAAGCGAGGGAGTGCCACGCACGGTCAGGCTGGGAGATGGAAGTGTGTGCGTGCTGTGTTGTGCTAGAGGAGGAGGTCCTGCAGTATCCTTGTGTGTTCCCGCTTCCCCTTGTTGGCAGCTGGCAAGGAGTGACTTAGTTTAGCAAGATAAGGAAGGCCTTGAGCATTCTGTTAGACAATTTAAATTAATCAGAAAGAACCTTAAGACCCAGACTGGCTAAATATACATTTGCCCGTCGTGTGGTGCAGAGCACCGCACAGCGCATGGTTTCTTGGTGTTTCCCCGAAGGGTTACTGGTACAAACAGCAGCACCTTCTTGGGGCGAGTGACTGCAAGCAGTGGAGGGTGACTTCCATAAAAATTGAAACTTGGGATGTAGTTTCTCATGTGCTGGGGTAGAACATGTAAGGCAGTGCTGCCATTCTTGTCGTCTCTCTGCAGTGCTATCACATGAATGGTACAGGTACTTAATGCTGCCATGTGGTGGGACCAGCTGAACTGATCCAGGTTAAAACTAACCCAGCCAAAAGGCTGCTCTTAACCCAGAGGACAGAGGAGTTCTTACCTCAGTGTAACTTGGCACTGAATGTGTGTACCAGCATGAATGAAGAGGGAGAGCTGGGTGGCCGGGAGGAGACCTGAAAGCAGTGCCAGCTTTGGATGCATGCAGGTGAAGCTATATCCTCAAGCAAGACGCCCTGCAGAAAGGGAGTGAAATACAGAAAGCTGCATAAGCAAGCTGCCTTTATTTTCAGAACTTAAGCTATTTGGTAAGGAAGCTTGAAAGGTGTGCTGTGACAGTGTACCAGCCTGGGAGACTCAGTGCCTCCAAGGAAGACCCTTATTTTTTGTGGGAGTAGCCTCACTGATGGATATTTTTCATTGCATGGGAATGTGTTGGAGCACTGGACCACAGGTAGTCCTTTTCTGAAGCTTGGTGCCTACTACTGGTTGGTAGGAATCCATCTTCCTCTGTATGAGAGGTTGGGAGGAGTCTTTAATCGTGATCCCTTTCAGTGGCATCAGTAAAAGGACAGTATTTCTGTGAACGTTGTGTTTAATGGGAACGTGGATGCTTTGAAGCAAGTGCATATGTGTACCAGATCATTGAGGGGAGATCAGCTTGCATTTGAATCTGCTGCCTTGTGAACTGGGGAACAGGGTGGGGAAAGATGCATGTTGGAAAGTACCTCTTATGTGCTTTCTTGTCATCTAGAGGTTTGCTGACAAGTGTTCCAGTTGGTTATGGGGCAGTACAGAGGAGTTGCACTTGAGTCTCCAGCTGTGAACATACCAGTGAGAGGCCTCTGAAAAAAAAAGGAGGGGAAATTGAAAACAGAGCTAATATAAGCAAAGTATGTTGGTGCAGGGTTGAAATTAATCACAGGCAGTCAGAATCTCAGACTCTGTAATGGTGTATCCTGTGAAACTGGACTAATTAACTCCTCCTTGAGAATGTCTTTGATGCCTTAAAGGAGACGGACTCCATAATCTGTAGTCATTTTACCAGTTCTTAAAACATTCAGAACCATGTAGAGTGTCTTTATTATGAGAGGCACATTTATGTGGATGTAGTTATGGCTGTTAGCAATTCCATTAATGTGATCTTCAGAATTTCATAAATCACTCTGAACTGGTTTGGCTGGGGCTTAAATTTCACAACTTGTTCCGAAGAGATTGTCTCGCTGTGCTGATTTATACAAATAGTCCCAGAACTGGTGAAGCCTCCATCTCGTGTGCGACAAATTTAAGCTGAGTTGTAATAAACCTTAAACACAATTGGAAATAAATTACTAGTTTCCATTTTGTTTGCTTTAATCTATAGTTTAAAACAACTGTGCAGCTGATATAAATCAAAAAAAATGCAAAATGTGGCCTTGATTCTGCAAGGTACATAGAGAAATGCCAATTGCTAAGCTGTTAGATGCTTGCAGAATGGAGGCTGGACCTTTGTGCTATCTAATGTGCTGTTGCTCCGTTCTTACCTGGCCCTCTGGAGTGTGAAGGTGATGTTTTGAACGTTTCACTTGCACTGATTACCGAGCCAGACAGGCTTGCAAAGAGTTGCTGGCTTGTGTTGAATCTCTAGCATAATGCTTAACCTATCTTTACTTTCTCAGAATTTTGATTGGCATTATCTACTGTAGCATTTATTCAAGTCGATGTGAAAATTTAAACCTTGGGAAGTGACGTAGACTTAACTCCACCGAGCAGCAACTGTTTTGTGGGTGTGTTCTTGCATCAAATGAAGCCCGTGTTCCTGTAAAGTAATAAAATTGACTTTTACCATAAACCCTATTTTCTTTCAGCAGTTTGGTTTCATTTTAATTTTAAAAGCAATTGATGTGATGGTTGAGGGAATGTTTGTAGCAGCTTGTTTTGGGATCTGTGTTATTAGGAGAAGCCTCTCCAGTTGATTAGTTCAATACCTCTGAACTGTACGCTAATGATGCGCTCTGTTCCGTAGCACCACAGTGATATAACTTACTGTGGTTTGAGCTCTGACAACGTACAAGATTGGGGATGTCACATATTGCATAAATAAGGGTGGAAATCTTGCATTAGACACTTTCTACTAAGGTGGCATTTAAAAAACATAGATCTGTCAACAGAACAGGTAGGGCTTAAATTGCTTTTCTAGATCAAACTAAATGAATGCCCTTCTTGTATTGCTTGATTTAGCTATGTAACTATAGAGTTAAATCTTGTCTTTGGATTTTGCAAAGCCATATAGCTTGTGAATTTGTGATAATGGGGGGAATGAAGGCTTAACGAATGTCTCTTTAAGCTATTAATCATGAGACTGGCAACATCGTTGTCTTTATTGCATTCATAATTTAAAAATCCTATCATGGAGGAGGAAACATGGATGCTTGTTAAATATATTCTTTCAGTGGAAAGTGCTAAGAAATCAGATCGTTAAAGTACAGAATCATAAGAGACACTAGAGCCTTGCCAGGAACAATAATTACTATTTATATGTAATAGGCATTGGGAGGGAAAGAGATGAGTCTGGTTTGTTTGTGCCTGAACTTCATGGATTTTATGAGTAACCAACTAGAAGGATTTGCGGATTGAATTTCAGTTTAAGAGCGTGTACTATTACAAACTATAGAGCTAAAAACTGTTGCAAACTGAGTGAAATACCTTGAGAAATCAGCTGGTTTGTTGTCTCTCAACACAAGTAAGCAGAACATGTGCGAAGCAGCTCCTGCTCCTGCCTGAAATTCTGATGAGTTCTTATTAGTTTTTGTGTTTGATTGCAGCTTTGCTGTTAGCTCATCTCACCTAATCTGCCACTTTTCTTGAGGTTGCAGACCTTACCTAACGTTTAGGTTACCTGGGGCTCTTTACAGGCAACTTTGGGAAGTGGCTGAGAGGAGAAGGGATCAAAAATCCGTTGGGGTATCTGTTTGCACTGCCTTGTGATAAATGTGTTGTGGGAGGAAGGGCAGGGGAGAAACTGAGCTTTTTAAATACCATGTATTTGACTGGATAATGTGGGTCAGGTCATGTTTATGGTACATGAGCTTGATATAGACAAGGAGGCATCTTGCTTATGAAAACCTTTGGGATGAGTGGGAGAGGAATGTGGGGAAGAGATGCCTTCTGCAGGGACGATTGCTCTGCTGTGCACATAGGGACGCTATGTCTTGCTTCAAGCCCATGCATTTTAGATCAACTTAATGCAGGCAGCAACTGCAGCAAAGGAAGAAACTCCCTCCGCAGCGTTCAGCTGAACATCACATTTGTTTAGGACAGTCGTGGCTTGACAATTTATCCTCAGCATCTCTGACAGCTCCAGCCTATTGAAAAGCAGACAAGCGTGCTTCTGCTCCGCTGCAAACACCAGGGCTGCCCAAAGGCTCTTATAGATTAAGTCGATTCCAGCTCACCTTTCAGTTCCTGGCTTCTTTGGGGTTTCACGGTTGAGGTTTTTTGTTTTTAAAGAAGTCCGAGGTACAGAGAGGTTTTAAGGTGTATCTTCAATAAGTATATTCCCTTCTGGTTCAGGAAACTTGTCTTTGGAGGTCAGCTTTCAGTTTTGCATACTGAAATGCTTCTGTTTCTCATGCAATTAGTAGAAGGTGGCAATCTTTAAATGCTGCTGGTAATAGGCAGAAAAAAGACTTCAGGGCTTAGTTTTTGGCAGTTTTGTTTTGTCGTCTGGTAGATCACAGTTCAGATGAACATTTTTTTCCTTTAGAACGTAAATATAGCTAAAAGATGCTGAAAAACTTTAAGCTAATGAAATGCAATGCCTTAAATTTATGTCCATTTAGGGTTCATGTAGACACTTGATTGTCCCCAGACAGGCTGCCCAGCCTTTAGAAAGGACTGGGATGTACATTGAGAGGATTGGTGCTATTTAGAAAACGGGGAGCGTACAGATTCAATTCCCGAAATCACTATTTGATCATTTTACAACATGCATTAGAAACTGAGCGTTTAGGTCCTGGTGAAGTTCCTGGCA